CCATTGTATGTTCTTGGCTCCTTTGTCAAAGATTAGCTGTCCATAGATGTGTGGGTTTATTTCTGGGCTTTTGATTCTATTCCATTGATCTGTGTGTCTGTTTTTGTGCCAGTACCATGCTGTTTTGGTTACTATAGCTTTGTAGCATATTTTGGAATCAGGGAGCGTGATACCTCCAGCTTTGTTCTTTTTTCTTTAGCAATTTGGGGTCTTTTGTTGTTCCATATAAATTTTAGGAGTCTTTGTTCTATTTCTATGAAAAATGTTGTTGGAACTTTGATAGGAATTGCATTGAATCTATAGATTGGTTTAGGAAGTATGGACATCTTAACTATGTTAATTCTTCCAATCCAAGAGCACCGAATATCTTTCCATTTCTTTGTGTCGTCTTCAGTTTCTTTCAGCAATGTTTTATAGTTTTCCGTGTACAGCTCTTTCACCTCTTTGGTTAAGTTTATTCCTAGGTATATTATTCTTTTTGTTGCAATTGTAAATGGGATGGTATTCTTGATTTCTCGTTCTGTTACTTCGTTCTTAGTGTATAGAAATGCAACTGATTTTTGTATGTTGATTTTGTATCCTGCAACTTTACTGTATGCGTTTATTACTTCTAAAAGTTTTTTGGTGGACTCTTTAGGGTTTTCTATATATAAAATCATGTCATCTGCAAATAGTGACAGTTTCACTTCTTCCTTTCCAATTTGATCTCTTTTATTTCTTTCTCTTGCCTGATTGCTCTGGCTAGGACTTCCAATACTATGTTAAATAGGAGTGGTGACAGTGGGCATCCTTGTCTGGTTCCTGTTCTTAAAGGGATAGCTTTCAGTTTTTTACCATTGAGGATGATATTAGCTGTGGGTTTGTCATATATGGCCTTTATTATGTTGAGGTACTTTCCTTCTATACCTGTTTTAGTCTGAGTTTTTTTTTATCATAAATGAATGCTGTATCTTGACAAATGCTTTCTCTGCATCTATTGAGATGATCATGTGATTTTTATTCTTCATTTTATTAATGTAGTGTATCACCTTGATTGATTAGTGGATGTTGAACCATCCCTGCGTCCCTGGAATAAATCCCACCTGATCATAGTGTATAATCTTTTTAATATATTGTTGTATGTGATTTGCTAGTATTTTGTTGAGGGTTTTTGCATCAATGTTCATCAGTGATATTGGCCTGTAGTTTTCCTGTTTTGTGTTGTCCTTGTCTGTCAACCACTGTCTTAAATATCTCCACGCTCTTAACAAAACAAGCTGGTTAATAGGAAGGGATAGATCCACAGTAAAAGCAGGAGCACATTATAGATATTCAGACTTAATTCTTTTTCTATTAGTATAAAATAATTCCAAATGTTCTAATGTTAAAACATTAAGATGTATGAATTTGATGTTCAGGTATGTTTTATATAGTCAATTGTTAGTATTTAATATTATTTGGTATGATTTTCTGTTTTCTGATATCCTGGTCAGTTGAGGGACTACCTATGAGCAAGAGCAAGATTTTCCTCAGAACACAGTTCCAGGTCCACTCTAACACAGGGACATGTGAATACTCAAGATTCCAAAGTCCTATGTTGAGGATATAACTACAGTAATTTTAGCTTGTAAATTTAAGAAAAATGATTAATCACCCATCCCTGCTACTTTAGATCTCAATCATGTATACATACAACTGTTAATGTTAAATAGTATGATTTCTAATTCTTACACATTTTACAGAAAAGGTCTCTGTAAGAAAAAGTTGAGTTAAAGTCACATTTGTGTATTTTTAGCTCAGAGTTCTTTTTTTTTTAGCGAGGAAGATGAGCCCTGAGCAAACATCCGATGCCAGTCCTCCTCTTTTTGCTGAGGAAGACTGGCCCTGGGCTAACATCCATGCCCATCTTCCTCCACTTTATACGGGACACCGGCACTGCATGGCTTGACAAGCGGTGCATCTGTCTGCGCCTGGGATCCGAACCTGTGAACCCCGGGCTGCCGCAGCGGAGCGTGCGCACTTAACTGCTACGCCACCAGGTTGGCCCCTCAGAGTTTTATACTCTATAATACTTTAATGTGTAATTAGTTTTGTATTCTCTTCCATTCTTAAATTCCTTTAGCTGTCGGTTCCAAAAAGATTATTTTATGCCATAATTACAGATGAGATCTTTATTTTATATTATAAATATGTTATTTAATAACAATGAAGTCAGTCACACATAATTAGTTCTATTCTTTATGTGCTAGTGAATTATTATTAGTCCAGACTGTTAAGGGGTGAGAAGTTTGCAAGCTTCTTTAGGCCTGGTGCTGGGCACTGCTGCTCCGTGTTAGAGGGAAAGTCTAGCGTAGCCTAGGCAACGACTCAGGTTTAGGAAATCTTTCGTTCCCAAAAGACATACTAGTGTTTCATTAGTATGTTCTAGACCATCCCAGAAATTTTTACGTCTCACTGGTTACTTAGTAAATGGGACTGAATGTGTTTCACTGAAAAAAGTTACATAAAGGCAACTTTTTCTTGTAATCAACATGGTTAAAGATTGGATATAATACTGAACTATTTATGGATGAATTTATGTCTGGGGTTGCTTCATAATGATCCGCTGGTTGGTGGAAGGGATGTGGGGAGGAGTTTTGAATGAAAGAAGAATGCTTTTGAATGGCTAATTGTTGCATCTGGGAGATGGGTACATAGGGATTTATTGTTGTATTCACTCTACTTTTTTATGTGTTTAAGTTTTTTTTTTAATAAAGTCTTAAAAATATTTGAAGGAAAACCTTCAAATCAGTGATGCTCCCTTTCTCATTGAACTCCCCTTTCTCTTGAAATCTCAAGGGGAGTTCCTTATGAGAATTGAGCCCTGGTGCCCCACGGCATTCAGTGAGTAGTGAATTAACTTCTCTCCAGTGCATCTGTATTGGTGTTATGTACCATTTTTGGGAGAATTGAGAAAATAGTCATTTTTTTTTGTCGTGTGGTTCCTAGTGAGGAACACTGGCTGAGAAAGGCTATTTGATAGTATAGAAATATACGAGTGATTCAACATTGTAATGTATGGTAATTTGGTGTGTCTTTTTTTTGGTGGTGAGGAGGATTCGCTCTGAGCTAACATCTGTTGCCTATCTTCTTTTTTTTTTTTGCTTGAGGAAGATTAGCCCTGAGCTAGTATCCGTGCCAATCTTCCTATATTTTGTATGTGGGTCGCCACCACAGCATGGCTGATGAGTGGTGTAGGTCTGCGCCCAGGATCCGAACCCGCAAACCCAGGCTGCTGAAGCAGAGCACGCCAGACTTAACCACCACACCACAGGGCTGGCCCCAATGTGTCGTTGCTTTTTAAATAGAAATTTCAAACTTCAGTTTTTGAACATGATCCAAATACCATGTTGTAAACATGTTACCCTATACTAAAACTGTTGGAAAATGTGGTTTTCTTTTCTATTAGGTATAATCTGAAAATACAGCCCGTTGAGAGAATGCACCTAGCTGTAGTTGCCTGTGGCGAAAGACTGGAAGAAACTATAACCATGTTGAAGTCAGCTATAATTTTCAGCATCAAACCTCTTCAGTTCCATATTTTTGCTGAAGATCAACTACATGATAGTTTTAAAGGCATAGTAAGTATTTGAGACTTAGTCAAGACTATGGAGTTGAATATTTAATGGTATACTGTAACAATGTTGTTTCATTCCTTCATTGAACGAGAGTGTTTATTCTGTACCTCTGCCGTCTTAGAGTGGGGAGTGCTCTCTGCTACCGCCTCCATGTTAAGAGTCCGGATCTAGGATGTAAGAGGAAGGTTTGTTTTTGAAAAGGAGTAGGCTACTTAAAGTCCTTTGCCAAGCATGGAGGTTTTATTTTACTGACTATAGTTGCAGGATGTTTTGACTGAGAAGTCCTGTGATTCAATTTTTTTCCTATCCTTGGCTTGGCAGTGCTTCAACCAGAATGTACACAAAGGTTTTAATTCCCTTTTGAGGGGAGGGAATTCTTGATTGACAGTATGGAGGGAAGTGGCTTCTTGCTTTGATAAAAAAAGTTCTTTATTTTGGTTTGTATTAGTTACAATCAATTTGGTTGTAATGGCAAAAAATCCAAAATAACAGTGGCTTAAATAAGATAGAAGGTTATTTCTCTTTCACATAAAAGTAGGCAGTCTAGGGTATGTGACATCTCCACATCTTCAGGGACTCTGACTTCTTCCTTGTGGCTGAGCCATCTTAAACATAAGGCTTCTACCTCATGGTCAAAGATGGCTACTCAAGCTCCAGCCGTCACACCCATATTCTAGCCCATGTGAAGAAGGAAGGAGTGAAGAAGGGTGATCCCCTCCTTCCCTCTAAGGACACTTTCCAGAAGTTACACCTCACATTTTTGCCAGTATTTCATTGGTCTGAACTTAGTCATGTGACCATACCTAGCTGTTTGTGAGGGTTGAAAATATACTCTTTAATCAGGGCAGCCGTGTAACCTCCTTAACAACAACAACAAAAATACTGTGCAAGAAGAGGATAACAGATACAAGGGGGAGAATATTTAAGAAAAAGTAAATTCACCTGAAGTCTCAAATCTCACTACCTTTTGTTCTGAGATTGGTGGTAAAAATGATGATAATGATTATTTCCTTCCATCTATCTCTATCTGTCTACACTAAATTAAGCTTTGAAGCCGATTTGAATTTTTGTGCTTGGTCTATGTAGGAAAAAAAACGTATTTGATGATTTTTCAGCTTAAATTAGTTCATTTTGCCTATTGAATGAAAAATACTACTTCGGACCTCAAGTCTTCTAGTTTACTGACAAAATCCTTGATTCCAAGAGGTATAAAGCTTTACTGTTTTAAAATATTTCTAGTGTCTGTATTTTTGATAAGTGCTTCTGTGATCTTGATCTCATTATCTAGATTGTTCTCTAAAATATTAACTGAGGAATTAATCTTGTCCTAACAGTTCATAGGATAATAGCAGGTTGCTACTAACTGTGGAAAACTTTGAAAATGTAATAAAAAAGCAAAATAAATTTATAGCATCATCTTATATGCATCCTCTGTGTGTTGTGTTCAAATCTGACTGAGTTGTTGTTTGTGTAACATTTACTGTATTTTTAAACGAAGTTTAACTTCGTAGTGAACTCTGAGAATGTTTGGTTTTGCTTGTGATGAAAGAGTATCAAATATTTTATGGAACATGCTTTTACTGCAATAATTTAGATTTACTGATTAAATACTAGAATGTTAATAAAAAATGACTAAGATTTCATTTTGAAGTTGATATTGAAAGGATCTCTAAGTGATTTATAAGTCATGGAGGGAAAATAACATGCTAATGTTTTAAACTAATTACCAGAGACATCAAAGCAGAGTGTTGGAAGTAAAGATATTCCCTTAAACTATGTTGGAAGGCATTAATCTTTTTAAAAATTACTTGAACACAGTCATAATTTTGAAAAAGAACATCTTCAGCCTGTTACATAAACAAATTAGTTTTTTCTCCCCCCATAAATAGTTTGCAAATACTCTGTAGGAAATTTGAATCAACAATTCTATTGAAGCAACCATGATAGGTAATAACCTGAATTTGAAACAATTCAGTGTCTTGAAATGCACTCAGGATACTAAAGAGTAAATGTGTTCATTATAAATTTTCAGATCTGTTTTGCTTTTTGTAATAATTTTTTAAAAATTAGCATTGGATATATATTTATCAGAATATTTTATTATCAGGAATATGCATGCATATTGAAACTACATAGATGGATAAATATTTTCTAATCAGTTTCGTATTGGTCTGACTTTGAATGAAGCGTTTTCTGCATCGTACATACTATGGGAATAAAATTAGTGCTTAATTTTTCTGAGTTTAATTTGTTTAGAGTTTGAGAGGATTTATACATCAGTTAAAGTTGAGGGAGATGAACAACTTTGCAAGGCTCTGTTAACTTCCTGATTTTGTGATTGATATCTTTATAACTTTTATTGTGCCTCGGATCTATATGTGGAGTCTTTCTGGAATATTACTATGATTTTAAGATTTTGAATGAAAACAAAATGATGGGAAAGAAGAATCTGACTTTCTCTTACCTGTCTACAGCATAAAATGTATATCTTATTTTTTAGCTGTTTTTGTTTCATAATCTGTTGGTTTATGAGTTTACAGAGAAAATGGGAAGTGAAACAAATCTGAACTTTCTTATTTTTTTAAATATTTTTTAGCTTGACAGCTGGTCATTTCTACAAACATTTAATTATTCATTATACCCGATAACTTTCCCAAGTGAGAATGCAGCGGAGTGGAAAAAACTCTTTAAACCGTGTGCGTCCCAGAGATTGTTCTTGCCAGTAAGTTTTTCCCCCAGTGTTCTTTTTTATTTTTTGAATCTTGCTTTTACACATGAGTTAATGAAGAGTTACATAAAAATCCAGTTAAATAAGCACACACATATGATTTTCCCTTTGAATGCTAAAAAAACAAACTTTCCATAGAACAAATAGAAGCTACAATAAAAACCTCTGTTAAAAATGAAAAATGTAAACTATGAAATGAAAAACTATTTCTTACGTTTTAATTTATTCAGTTGCTATAAACTCTTTTATCTCTAAGGAGGAATAGAGGTTGTCAGATCTTAATGGAGCCAAGTCTGTTGCCAGCAGAAATGCAGTGACAGTATTGCCTTCCACTTGCAGACTACATTTATAGTTGGGGAAATGAGGTAGATTGCATCATTAAATAACCATTTCTGTCTTATACCAACCAAGCCAACTTTTTCTAACTGGTATTTTAACACAAACAGAAAATTTAGGGCATGTGAACTCGAAGGGAAATGGGAACCATTTATTCAGTGGGGCTGGTGTTTGGTGATGTTCTCTGGTGATAAACCCTGATTGTCTTTTTTTAATCTAAAAATATTCAGAAGCAAGCTTATCTCTTACATTTTAAATTGATTTCACCCATAGTTTAAAAATTCACAGTGGTTGTTAGGACCACTGTAATGTTTAAAATAGTAATGGTAGTAGAAATATTGATTTTAAGAAGCTCAGAAGTTTCTGGAAAGTATGTGAATTATGGGGAAGAAACCCCAGTTACTTGCTATTATTACTTGCTATATTATGGCAATTCTTAGCATATTAAGAATATAGTTTACCAAATCCAGGATGTCAGTGAGATTTAAAGTTGTTATAATTTTGATAACTGAATCTGCCTAACCAGTATCTTTGTTGCTGTGCATAAAAAATTTGGATCCTAGGATCTTTCTCATTCTCCTCTTCCATTGTAAGGAGCACACAAATAAAGGATTAAGATTGGAAAAAAAGCCTGAGAAGTTTTAGATACTTCCTGGAGGCTTTATAAGTTTTAAAAAAATTTTTGTGTTGAATCATGCAGTGTGACATTTGTTTACTTAATGTTTAAGTGCCTGTTTTCTCCCAAGTATCTGTACTAAGTCCTAGGGGTGTAGGAAGGAATGGAACAGACAGGTTTCTTGTTTTTGTAGAGCTTATTGTCTGATGTGGGAGACAGACATCAAACAAACATAATATGACATTAAATAAACACAAATATATTATTAAAAAGAAGTGATGAAAGAAACGCGAGGTTACAGCTGCTTTTCCTCCTTTTTGTTCTGCATTATGAGCAAGTTTACTCGTTGAGGTTGTGATATGAAATTTGCCAGGTCATTTTGTAATGTAATCTGGTTAAATTCCTAAATGGAATTTTAAATACTAAAATCAAATACTTGAAACCTGTCCAATTGTCCTCATATTTTACTGTTACTTCTGTGGCTTTTTAAGCAGATTTAAGTAAATTGATGCTTTATTTTTCCAAGGGATAAACTTTTTTACTGAGTTTCTCTTCCTTTGAACTAGATGGATTAAAAGAACTAATGTAAGCTGTGTCAACTCTGTCTTCCTCTAAAAGGAACCATAGAAAAATACTGACGTGGTTATTATTTAACCTTACGTCTGATCTCCAGCTGGCAGTGGCTCCCAACAGTGTTATGCAGCATCTTCCTAGTCTGCTAAGAATACGGTGATCTGTAAACACATGACGTATCGTGATACAGAAGTAGAATGTTGCTATAAACACAATTCCCCCCACCCTTCTCCCTGGCCAAAAAGACACAGACTTACAGACACACACACACATATCCTTTTAATTGGGGTCTTTGAACAAGTGACCCTTCCCTACTCAGGCTCTGCAGTCAACCATCAGATTTTTTTTCTGCAGCCTGATACTAAATCAGCTGGTGGGGGGAGTGGGCCTCATAGCTGTGCGTTAAGGTGATGGCTTAACTTTAGCTGCAGGAGGAGGTAGCAGTTTTGAAAGGGAGCAGAATGAGGATCAAGTTCTTATTCTCATTATATTCTTAACGAAAAAGGTTTAGGTTAACCTAATTGTTGAATCTTACTAACACCCTAGGATAGGCAGTAAATTTAAATTTGCAGGAGTCAATTCTAAAGTGTGGGTAAGGCAGAAATAAAAAAATTACCCTTGAAAATGCCTGTGCCAGGCACATGTTGGAGATTTAACATCCTCCAGAAAGTAACAACATAGCCAATCTTTCTTCCAAGACAAGACTTGTCTTCACCCTTGCTAAGTGCTCCTTTTCTTTGAATTCTTGGGAAATAGAAAGCATAGGAATAAGAGCATGAGCTCTAGAGCTGGGTGGTCTGAATTCCAATTTTGGCTCTACCTTTTACTAGTTGAGACCGAAATGATGTAAGGTGCCAGCCATTAGTGTTACAGGCTGAGAGGGCAAGTTCAGAAGATCTTCATTTGCGTTGGTTTATTTCTGTATTTATTTCAGGAAATTAGGATTTGAAATATAAATTCACCTAAGTTAATGTTATTTTCCATTGTGAAAAACATTTCCTCTCTGCATATAGCTTTTATTTTGTTTATTCTTCCAATTGTTAGTGTTGACTTTTTCTTCTGATTTGTTTTTATAGCTTTTCTTCTCTAAAAGTTAATATAAAGATTAGCATAGTATCTCTATATACGCTGTTGTAAAAAATGACAGATTTAGGAAAAATTAACTTAAAAAACTATTGTAAATTAGCTTAGCTCTTAGGTATATCTTTTGTAATTAAAGCCTCTTGTATGTTGTATATTAAATATATAGAATTATATTTAATGATTCAAATATCTCTCCTCATAGTTAATCCTGAAAGAAGTTGACTCACTATTGTATGTCGACACTGATATCCTTTTTTTACGGCCCGTTGATGATATTTGGTGTTTACTAAAGAAATTTAATTCCACACAAATTGCTGCAATGGCACCAGAACACGAAGAGCCTCGAATAGGATGGTATAATCGCTTTGCCAGACATCCATACTACGGAAAAACTGGAGTAAACTCTGGAGTCATGTTGATGAACATGACTAGAATGAGAAGGAAGTATTTCAAGGTGAGTCACTGATACAGGTGGTTGGTTAACTTTTTCCTTTTTTCCCTCCAAACTGTTTGATTTTCAGTTTAGTTTTGTTTTATTAAAAAACTAGGTTGAACTATTCAGAATTTTTCCACTTATCTAGAATAGTTGAAGAGAAGTGTTCCTAGTATTCTGTTTATTAGAGCTTTGCAGTAGGTCAAACCACATGGTGTTACAATGAAGTAAGATAACAGTGCACTAATTAGTGAGCATTGTCTTCCTACATTGTTATTCCAGGCAGTAGTGGTGCAACCACAGAATACTTGAATCAGAAGTATGATGTGTCTTGGGGGAGAACACAGAGTTGTGGTTAAGAGCGTCAGACTTTGGAGCCTGTGGGCCTGGTTCAAACCCTGGATGTTACTTAGTAACTCTGGGGCCTTGGGTAAGATTTGGCAGTCTCTGGGCTTCAGTTTCCTCATCTGTGAAATGAGGGTGATGGATAACAGTACCTATGTCATAGAGCTTTTGTGAGGATTCAATGAGTTAGAACAGTGGCTAACACATAGTAAATGTTGCTGCTACTGGAAGTGAACTTAAAAAAAAAAAATCCCTGCATGTTTCTTGTCTCTCAAATTGTGGGGAAGAGGCAGGCTCAGTGCTCTGATTCTGAACACGAGTATGTTGTTCTGCTGACCAGTTCTACGTTGATGAGTTCTGTGTGCTGAGTTTTAAGTCATTGTGGTTTGTGGGCTCTGGAGTCAAACTGTTTGGCTCTCCATCTAGCTTTGACACCTGTGCACTGTTTAACCACTAGCCAGCTAACTTTTCAAATGTCAGTTCTCTCCACTGAAAAACAGAGATAATAAATGGACTTACTTAGGTTGTCAGTTTAAAAGAGATCCCTTTAAAGTGCTTAGTACAGAGCATGACACATAGTAAGTACTTAAATGTTAGCTGAGAACAGCGACTTGAGAAACGCCAATATAGACATGCTATTTATCCCTTTACATCCAGTTAGGACTAAATTAAACACTAAGGGATATTATGTCTTTTATGATATGAGTATATATGTATGTTTGCAGGCATATATATTTGTCAGATATTTTTCTGTGGCTTCTGGTGGACCAAAATTTACACCAGTATTTATGACTCCTTTCTACGTGTCTGATTTAAATCTCTGCCTCATTTAGAGTTGTTCCCCTTACCTTTTGTACAGGTAGCGGTGCTGTTTGTAGCCATCACCACCCATGTCCCAACATCTCAGTCTTAGGAGAGATCATTCCCATCACTCTTACCTTGCGTAGATCTAGTAAACCTAGTTTTTTTAGCCTTCCCATTTTCTGAAATCTTGATTTCATTTCAGTTTTGTCTCCCACAGTTGAATGCATTAATGAGGCCAGTGTAACCTGTGCTCTTGCTTAACAGTGAACATCTTTGTTCAATTACCCAATTTGTTAATATATCTTGTTTCAAAATTTCATGTACCATAAAGTTTTACTAAATAAAACAGATGTTGTAATGCCATCAGTTTTCTTCCTTTTCTTCGTGTTAGGCTATGCACAGTAATGTTATACCAGAAGATGGTGCTGTAAGATTATCTGCTAAGGAATAATGTGACTTCTCAGTAACTCTTCATTTGGAATTCACAGAATTATGAGAAGTTTAATGTTGCAAAGAACCGTAGAGATAATTTAGCGTAACACCATTATTTGATTTTTTAAAAATTTCAAAATCAAGCTATATCGTTCAAATCTATGATTATTTTTTACTTACCTTTTACTTATTTAAATGTCATTCTTAAATACATTAACAATTTCTCCCCTCTCCTCCTTTTGTCTGTGGCATGGTCTAAACCAGCTAGACATGTAGATATGGGAGTTGAAATAATTTCTAAAGTTTCAAACTTTTGTTTTCTTCTGTGCATTAATGACTTAATGAAGAAAACCATGAGTGGCATGACTGTGCATTAATTCAGTAGGTACAGTTTCCTTCACACCTACTGTCCCTGTGTTCCAGACAACCCTATTCTTGTCCAGTGGGAACAACACAGACTTGCTTTGTTTTCAAATATTATACTTATGATTACTGAGATATTTCTACAAAATTTATTATTTTTAATTCCTTTTCTCATATATCTTTCTTTGTTTTTCTGGATTGTTTTCCAGACTATATCTGTAGCAAACATTGCGTTGTTTTTTCCTACTAATTCTACAATTTCTGGCACAGATCTTAAATATTAGAGCTCTAGTGATATAACTGAATTACTAATAACTTTCCAAACTGTTTCATACAGATCCGTGAATGTTGCCCCATGGTTCTTATCACGTGAAAAGCTCTAAAACTACCTATGTAGAATAATGGCCGTGTTTTAAATTCTTAGTTTGCTTTGCTGTCACGCAGTCAGTCTCTACCATTTGTGACTGTTCAGTTCTGAGCTGATGTATTATACTTATATATATTAAAAATTAAAATAGTAAAAATTCTACTTTTTTGTTCTTTGTTTCTCATAATGCTTGATAGACAGTGATATAGCATGTGTTAAGCTATTGCTTTGTATTTTGTGTTGTGATTGTGTTTGCAGTGTCAAATTCCTATTAGGATATTTCTTAACCTTTTCTATTTATTAGAGAAAACCCAAAGAATATAAATAAGGCATCTTGAGAATCTTTTCCTTGTATGTTTACTGTACCCTGTTCATATCCTGCCATATGTTACTTTGTAAAGTAATTTTTGTCTATTTTCTGCACCTACTGAGGGCAGGGTGTATCTTTCATACAACTTCGTATTCAGAATATTTAGCATGGAGTCTGGCATAAAGTGGTGACTCAATAGATAATTAATGGCAGAGGACAGACGAAAGTTTTAGAAACCAGGCCATTGATGAATTACTGAAAAATATTGGAAAAGAGAACACCTTACTGTGAGGTGGACATGATGGTTGTGTTTACGTATTTGAAAGATGTAGGTGATGGAGGACTTTTATTGTCTTTTGTATATAGCTTATGAGAACGAAATATCAGTGAATATCTTACCAAAAGGGATAGAACTTTTCAGTGATTAGTGGAGTAACTAATCTTTGGAATTGATGAGTTCCCAGTTTCTAACATTGTTGGAGCATAGTATGAATAGCCACCTGTCAGTTTTATGTTTAGGTATAAGATAGGCTGATAATGATAATGGGTCCATCTATTTTCAGAAGCATACATAATTCTAAAAGTGAAACTAATTGATTTTAATATAACACATGTGCATTTTGGTAGTAGGTTTGCTAAAAATAGTAAATTAGAACTACATTTTTTTTTAAAGAAACTAAATCATGCTTATAAAGATATAAATAATTCAGAGGCCGGCCTGGTGATATAGCGGTTAGGTGCGTGCACGCTGCTTCGGTGACCTGGGGTTCGCAGGTTCGGATCCTGGGTGCGCAACCAGTGCACCACTTGTCAAGCCATGCTGTGGCAGCGTCCCATATAAAGTAGAGGAGGATGGGCACAGATGTTAGCCCAGGGCCAATCTTCCTCAGCAAAAAAAAGAGGATTGGCATCAGATGTTAGCTCAGGGCTAATCTTCCTCCCCCCCAAAAAAGGAAAGAAATTTAAATAATTCATTATATGTAGAATAAAAAGACATGTCCCCCCTTTACACACCACTCTCCCCAATTTCATTCCTTTGCCCAAATGATATTATAAACTTTGCTCTGTATTCTTCCGATCCTTTAAAAAAATGTATTTTGAAACAAACATGTACATTAGCACTTATATATAGGATCCTTGTATACATCTTCAGCTTGCTCTTTTCACTTTGTAAATATATAATTGACTGATTTTTATGTCCGTACACAAGGTCTATCACATTTTTAATGTGCATGATATTGTGGAGAATGGATGATTTGGTTTTATTGTTTGTGTTTACTGTGTATGAATATGTAGTTATATGGCTGAAAAATACCTCATATATTTTAATTTGTACTTTCCTGGCTATACTGCCAGTGTGGATGAAAATCTTTTCATATACTTTCTAGCCATTTCTCTTTCCTCCTTTGTGAATGGCTGTTCATTCATATCCTTTGACCATTTCTCTACTTGGTTGTTTTCTATTTCTTATTGACTTGAACTCCTTTTATAGATAATGCCTCTTTAATAAACTCATTTCTCACAGTTTTTCATTGGTTGTCTTGGACATTCTAGGTTATATCATCAGCACATAATACTAGTGTTAGTGCTTCTTGTCAAATATTTTTCTAGCAGGACTTTTCCTTTAAGTTGGAAAGGTTTTTCACCCCCTTTGACTTTTTTCTTAAGATGGCACTAGACCTTTAATTTTATCTTTCATTGATTTTTCTTTGAATAGATATATTTCTTTGAATAGATACTTATTCATAGCTGTTGAATGTGTTGCTGGTCTTTGTCCTTGTGCAATTCAGATTTCCCTTTTCAGATCCTAAGAACACTTACTTAACATGCTCAGTGACTTTTTTCAGAGTCATCCTTTCAATAAAATATTTTCTTATTTCCTTAATTAAAACTTGTTGCAGTCATTTTTCAAATTTTTTGGGGGGGAATTTCTGATATTTTATAATTACTGTGTTTACTGCATTCTGAGAAACTTCACACGAGGGTAATGCAATTATGGCAGGTCATATTTAATTTAAATATGTAGATTTTTTTTCAGGAATTCTGGCTTTTCTTTCTCTTTCTTGAAGGATAGATTGTTTATACCCCCACTGAGTTTATTATATATCCTAGAATAGCTTATAACAGTGTTTTTCAGACTATCTATGGAAAAGGATCAATGTTTTAAAAATTTATAATCTGTCGTAAGCCGATACTTGTGTAAAAATGGTGTAAGTTACTAGAAAAAATATTAGATTACATAGACAAAATTATTCTGTTAAATTGCTATAAAAGTTTCTAAATCTTACTCTTAATTTCTGTACTTAATCTTATAGAAGATATAAAAAATTCACTGATGGGCACACTGCACACTGCATTTTGAGGAATACTGGTTCAAGTCTGGAGAGTTTAAGAGTCAAGTAGGTCTAATGGGCTTAGTTATTCAGCCTTCTCACCCCAGATTCACACGATCCAGAGCTCTCTTCCAACTCTGTTGTTTCCTTAGGTATTTGACTTCGAGTTTTTAAAGAATGAGCTATGAGCAACTCCGTAGAGGTTGAAAAGGCACGTGACGAAATTCAGTATCTGTTTTTGATGTATCTATTTCAAGTGATCTCTTTGAGATGCCAATTATAAAAGATTAGCAAATCAGTTTAAGAATAATAGTGATCATGGTAGCAATAAGAATAGCTAACACTGAATATGTACCATGTGCTGGGTATATATATATTATTATTATATATTAATCCTCAACAACCCCATGATGTAGACATAGACATTGTGTCTAGACATATGGCATAGGTACTAAAACTATTTAAGATGAGGTGACAGTCATAGTACTGAGACTGTCACCTACTTTCTTTTTCCCTTTCTTTCCCAACGTTTATTAGTCTTATCACATCTACATGCACCTTCAGATATCTTTTGTTACTTTACTCACTCCAGCTGGACAGCCTTACTCACATCTAGGTTTACATTAGGGTCACTTGGTTTTGTAACAAAAATTTACCTTTCTCCTTGTCGCTCTGTAATGATTGCTAAGAGAAGATTGGGAACTGTCATTATGCTGCCATATTAAACCTGGAAGCCTGAGGATCTTTTTAATGTATTTACCAACAGAATGATATGACAACTGTACGACTACGGTGGGGAGATATACTTATGCCCTTGCTTAAAAAATACAAACTAAACATCACATGGGGTGATCAAGATCTGTTGAACATCATATTTTTTCATAATCCAGGTAATCATTTAAATTTCTTTTATTCTTTGCATTTGTAAAAAAAAAATCATAGATAATATTTAGTCAAAAATGAAGAAATGCATTTATTTGATTTTGGCTTATGTTAATGGTTATCACTGTTTAAGACAGCGTGCAGGCCTACCTTGTTTTATTGTGTTTTGCTTTATTGTGCTTCACAAATACTGCGTTTTTTATAAGACCCACCACCAGCAAAAAGCTTACAACTCGCTGAAGGCTCAGATGATGGTTAGCAATTTTTAGGAGTAAAGTAATTTTTAACTAATGTATGTACATCATTTTTTTAAACATAATGCTATTACACACTTAGTAGACTATAGTATAGTGTAAACATAACTTCCGTATGCACTGGGAAACCAAAAAATTTGTGACATGACACGCTTTATTGATATTCTTTTTATTACGTTGGTCTGGAACTGCACCTGCAATATCTCCAGGATATGCCTGTAAAACTTTTCTTGAATATTGGTTCAGTAGGAAGAGATCTAAAGGCCAGACATATTTCTCACTATTTTAAATCTTATCTTTTAAGAGCTGTATTTTTAAACTAAAGTTTTTGCAAATTGTGGACTCTGTGGAATTAGGATTATTTGCTTCATTGTTTTGTCTTTCTTCATATAGAAAGCCTTTTTGTCTTTCCGTGTCATTGGAATTATCGACCAGATCATTGTATTTATGGAAGCAATTGCCAAGAAGCAGAAGAGGAAGGAATCTTTATTCTTCATGGGAACAGAGGTGTTTACCATGATGATAAGCAACCAGCATTTAGAGCTATTTATGAAGCACTGAGAAATGTAAGCATTTGGTTTTTTGTTTTATGTTTTTAACTTTTTACGTGGAAACACTTCCAAGCTTATGGAGAATTTGCAAGAATAGTACAAAGAATTTCCATATCTTTTACTCAGGTTCATCAGTTACTAACATTTTACCCCATTTGCTTTATCGTTGGTTCTCTCTGTATATACGTTGTTTTTTTCTGAGCCATTTGAGTGTAAGTTGCATACATCATGCACTTATATCCCTAAAAATTTTGGTGTGTTTTCACTAAGAACAAGGACATTCTCTTATTAACCACAGTTCAGATGTCAAACTCAGGAAATTCCATATTGATACAATTCTTCAATCTACCATCCATGTATCTTTAGTCTACTTTGATCTAGAACAGTTTGTGAATCTTTCATCGACTTTCATAGCATCAACATTTTGGGAGAATAGAGCCCCTTCACCCCTTTTATTATTAGAATGTTCTTCTTATTGGCTTGTCTGATTTTCCATATGATTAGGTCCAGGCATGGCCTCCTGGTCGAATACTACATAAGTGACGTTGTGTCCTCAAGGTATCATAGTCACCTTTGTCTACCTCCCCCTCATTGGTGATGTTGATTTTGGTGACTCAGTCTAAGTGATGTTCAATTTCTCCACTGTATAGTTATTTTTCCCCTTATAAGCAGTCTGTGGGGGAAACTCTTTAAAATCATGTAAATACCCTGCTGCTCATCAAAATTTCCATACTAGATTTAGCATCTCTTGTTGGTTCTTGCTCAAACCAGTCATTACTATGGTAGTTGCAAATTGGTGATTGTCCAACTCTAGCACTCCTTCCACATACAGCTTTGGCACTCGGCATTCTACTGTAAGGAAGAGCCCTCCCTTTTTGCCCATTTATGGATCTATACATTATCAGTATGAACTCATCGATATGTATTTTTTTTTGATGATTTATAATGCATTATTCCTTTTTATTTATGTTGATGCTGAAGTTGTTCCAAATTTGCCCACTGGGAGCCCCTTTTGGCTACTTCTGGTGCCCATAGACATATTCCCATCTTTATTTTGAGTACCTCCTCATTATCTGTCACTACAAAATATTCCAGGCTCATCTTATGATACCTTCCCTACCCTGGCCCTGAAATCAGCTACCTGTCAAAGGAGCTCTGGTTCCTGTTAGTGCGCTCTGGGTGCTAGGCATGCATATTGCTACAAGAGTGTCTTCGCTTCTAAGCCCTTTCAGCGACAGAGCTAGAGATATAAACACATACCCAAAATCATGTGCTCACAGCGACACCTCCAGTTCTGCCCCGCGAGACTCTTCCTTGCCTTCTACTCTAGTTTCTGTTTTATCTCCTTTCTTACACAGTTAGAATTCTGGCTCCTAACATAAAACATTTCCCCATTTGCTTAATCCTACAGTACATTTAAAATAATTTCAGGGCCGGCTCCGTGGCTTAGCGGTTAAGTGCGTGCGCTCTGATGCTGGCGGCCCGGGTTCGGATCCCGGGCACGCCCCAAGGCACCACTTCTCCGTCCAACGCGAGGCCGAGTCCCACGTACAGCAACTAGAAGGATGTGAACCTACGACATACAACTATCTACTGGGGCTTTGGGGGGAAAAACATGAATAAATAAAATCTTTAAAAAAAAAAAAAAAATAATAATTTCAAAAATGCTCCATTCATACCGTCGTCTCCACTCCCTTCATCGCACAAACCAACTACTAAAAAGTTCAGGATTTGTTTCCAGTCCTCCCTCTCCCCTCCCCGCCCCAGACCGGGGTGTGTGCTCACTGCTGTGTTCAGCAGTTACTTGGATTAATTCTTGTATTCTTCCTTTCAGTGTGGTTATTTTATTCATTTGAAATACAAGGGGGTTCATTTGTTTCAGTATGCTTTCAGTTTTAAGGTTGTTTTCTCCCATCCTTGTCGATTTAACTTTAATTTGATATGTGGAATATTAATATACTTCAAAAAGTGAAAACAATAGGAGAGTTTACTCAGAAGTCCATCACTCCTTCCCCATCCGCTCCACCCCAAAACCCCCCACCCCACAGGTTACCAGTTTCACTGTTTTATGGTTTTGTCCTTCCTGTATAGATGAGCAGATACATGTATGTTTTGTAATTCCCCGTTTCTTACTCAGAAGATAGCATACTGTTTATATCTATATGCTCTTTGCTTTTTTCACTTAAAATATTCTGGAAATTCATGCACTTATAAATATCTTCTTCATCCTTTTTTCTTTTCTTTTTTTTTTTTTTATTTTACAGCTGTATATACTCTGTCTTGTGCATGTACCAGGGCTTATTCAACCAATTGCTTATGTTTGAACATTTTGGTAATTTCCATCATTTTGAATTATACGTAATGCAGCAGTGCATAGCCTTGCCAGATGTATATTTGTGTTGTAGGGATTATTGGATTGAAGATACTGCCTATTTCCCTACATAGAGATTATTTGCATTCCTGCCAACAATTTATGAGGAGGCCTGTTCCCCACAGCCTCATCAACGGATTGTATTATCAAGTTTTTAAAATTTTGCCATTTTGATGAGTGAGAAATGGAATCTTAGTTTAGTTTTAATTTGCATTTCTGAGTGAGGTGAACATCTTTTTCTATACTTAAGAGCCATTTTTATATCTTTATTTTGGGTGAATTTTCTTTTAAATCTTTCACTTATTCTTCTATAGGTTTTTAAAAATAATCTTATTGATACATATTTTATAAACCACAGAGTTCACCCCTCTAAAGTATATAATTCAGTGGTTTGTAGCATATTTACAGTTGTGACACCATCACCAGGAGGGAGTTTTGATCTTTACTTACCACTCCCCACCAACTGTTGCAAGTTCTTTGTATATTAGAGATATTAGTCCTTTATCTGTGATATCTGTGGTAAATATTTTCTCCCAATTTGACTTTGTTTATGGCATTTTTTTGCCGTTCAGAGTTGTTTTTTAAATTTTTGTGTAATCAAGTTTAGCAACCTCTTTTTTTCTTTTAAAAAGTCATAATTAGAAAGCCTTTTCCTACCTATACTCAGGTTGTAGAAAACTTCACTTATATACTGTTTCATTTATTATTTTTGGTCCTCTGCTCAATTTGGAATTTCCTATTTTGTATTGGGTGAGGAATGGATCCAATATGACCTTTCTCCAAATGACTATTTTGTTGTCTCAACACCATTTATTTAAAAGTCTGTTTTTAACCCAAAGATTTGAGACACTGACTTTAATCATATACTGAAGTTCCACTTGTGATTTCTGGATTTTCTGTTTTGTTCCGTTGGTCTGTCCATTTGTGTACTAATACCACACTATTTTAATTAGAAAGGCTTTGTGCTGTGTTTTAGTATCTGGTAGGGCTACTTGCTCCTCATAGCCTGTCCTTCTCACTGTTTTCCCAGCTGTCGTTTATTTATGTTTTCACAAATATCAGCTCGTTTAACTACATAAAAAACTTGTTGGTATTTTTATTGGGAGCATATCAGCATCACGTATTAACTTAGGGACTGCTGACATTTTGATGGTGTTGAGACATCTTAATCAAGAATAAGGGCTGTCTTTCCACTTGTGTATTTCAGGAATTTTTTTTTCTTTTTTAAATTAATTTTTTTTAAAATTTTTTGTTTATTGCAGTAACATTGGTTATAACATTGTATAAATTTCAGGTGTACATCATTATACTTCTATTTCTGCATAGATTACATCATGTTCACCACCCAAATACTAATTACAACCCATCACCACACACATGTGCCAAATTATCCCTTTTGCCCTCCTCCCTCCCCCATTCCCCTCTGGTAACCACCAATCCAATCTCTGTCTCTATGTGTTTGTTTGTTGTTGTTATTATCTACTACTTAATGAGTGAGATCATATGGTATTTGACCTTCTCCCTCTGACTTATTTCACTTTGCATAATACCTTCAATGTCCATCCATGTTGTCGCAAATGGCTGGATTTCATCATTTCTTATGGCTGAGTAGTATTCCATTGTGTATATATACCACATCTTCTTTATCCGTTCGTCCCTTGATGGGCACTTAGGTCGCTTCCAAGTCTTGGTTATTGTGAATAACGCTGCATTGAACACAGGGGTGCATGTATCTTTACGCATTGGTGTTTTCAAGTTCTTTGGATAAATACCCAGCAGTGGAATAGCTGGATCGTATGGTAGTTCTATCCTTGATTTTTTGAGGAATCTCCATACTGTTTTCCATAGTGGCTGCACCAGTTTGCACTCCCACCAGCAGTGTATGAGAGTTCCCTTCTCTCCACATCCTCTCCAACACATGTTGTTTCCTGTCTTGTTAATTATAGCCGTTCTGACGGGCATGAGGTGATATCTCATTGTAGTTTTGATTTGTATTTCCCTGATAGTTAATGATGTTGAACATCTTTTCATGTGGCTGTTGGCCCTCTGTATATCTTCTTTGGAGAAATGTCTGTTCAGGTCTTTTGCCTATTTTTTACTTGGGTTGTTAGTTTTTTGTTGTTGAGATGCATGAGTTCTTTATATATTTTGGAGATTAACCCCTTATCAGATGTATGGTTTGCAGATATCTTCTCCCAGTTGTTAGGTTGTTTTTTCGTTTTGTTGATGGTTTCCTTTGCTGTGCAGAAGCTTTTTAGTTTGATGTAGTCCCATTTGTTTGTTTTTTCTATTGTTTCTCTTGCCCGGTCAGACATGGTGCTTGAAAATATATTGCTAAGACCGATGTCAAAGAGCGTACTGCCTATGTTTTCTTCTAGAAGTTTCATAGTTTCAGGTCTTACATTCAAGTCTTTAATCCATTTGGAGTTAATTTTTGTGTATGGTGTAAGATAATGGTCTACTTTCATTTTTTTTCATGTGGCTGTCCAGTTTTCCCAACACCGTTTGTTGAAGAGACTTTCTTTTCTCCATTGTATGTTCTTGGCTCCTTTGTCGAAGATTAGCTGTCCATAGATGTGTGGGTAGGAATGTTTAATAGTCTTTTTCGTATTGATTTTGAACATATCTTAAGTTTATGCTTACGTATTTTATCTTCTTTGTTGCCTTTGTAAATGGGCTTTTCTCTTTTATGTATTTGCTTTGTATCGAGTTTGGGAAACAATTATACTGCCCCTCCCCAACCCCTGCCCCAGATACCTGTCCTTTTTTCCTTGTTCTTATAGTCCCCTTTTGTGTAATTAAGGTGGATGGATAGGAAGAGATGATTATACTTCACATACCTCTAGATTGATGCATGAACCAGGTCTCTGTGAATATGCTAGGGACCAAGACTTGGGGCAGATCCAGATGAGGGTTGGATTTATGATTTTGCTAAGTGAGCTACATTACTCACTGTCCATGCGGCCGATTCACTGATAGCTGGGCACAAGTATATGTGCCCACTCATCTTTCATGTCGATGTGCTTTCTGTTCTGCTAGACTGTGCCTATTCTTATGTGGCCGTTAAGACAAAACATAAGTAAACAGTAGGAGTGCTAGTTTGGTTTAAGTGTGGGGTCAGGAGAAATGCTGATGCTCCTGTTTGCTAGATTCTCATTATTTGCTAATGACTAAAAACCTCTGGTCTGGTATGGCCTCCTTAATAGCAGTGAGGGTGAGAATACTTAACTGTAATCCACTGTTGACAGAGACTGTACTAGAACTGTGAGAGAGTGTAACAATTTGCCTGGAAGGGCCAGGGAAGGCCTCATCGAAGAGGAGGCATTTGAAGTGGACCATGAAGAATGAATGAGTTTGCCAGATGAGCAGGGGCTATGTGGGCCAAGAACTGCTTGAGAAAAAGGCTCAGGGGTTGTGAAAAATCCCCAGAGAGGTCAGGCGTTGAGTGTTCACCGACATGGGGATGACGCGGTAAGGTGACGATCTGCAGGGATAAGGAATTGGAGTTTTCTCCTGGAAGTCGGTGTTTCTCAAATTTGGTGGTAGGCAAAGTGCTAACAGCATTGTTGGCTACAGTTTGAGTGTATTGTTTGCTTGAGTTTTTGCCCTATAAACTTGACAGATAAGGTTTCTGAATAATTAGTGTATCATGATAGAGCTACACTCACTGAAGAATTATAAAATTTAGTGTTAATGTTCATTTTAACGTGGCAGACTTTGTAAGCCTTCAGAAATCAATATCATATTTTAATAATGCTTTATCATGTGTTGTCAAAAGGTGATAAAAATGAAGAAAAGTACTTTTGGGGTTCTGAGACTTTGCAGAATAAAAAAGAAATGCTTTCCTGTAAAAATGTGATTTCTTTGTTTCCTTTGATCATTAAACAAATCCATTATTAAGGAATTAAATCTTACTAGTTTTCCTTGATCTTGTCTTTGATCTTTTATAAATATACACCTTTAAAAAGCTGAGTAATGGTTTTAAGCTGATTAATTACACTTGATTTTTAAAAAATAAATCTTATTTTTAAAATTTCAAATACTGATTTAATGATTTTTTGTGTTTGTTTTGAGTCTGTGTTAACTATAGCTATATCCATCCATTTTTCAACTTAATGAAGTTAATCAGTGTTTTATGGTGCTCTTGGTTAGTGTTTTTATCTTTTCTTATCTATAATTCAGTAAGAAATATAATTTTTAAAAGAATTGCATTCAGACAAGAGTATTTATGCAAGTTTCAGACAGAATCTTTGTCATAGCCATCGAATGCAGTGAACAAATATGAATTACAAAGGATGTGAACCATGTTTAAAATGTAAATGCATGGCCATGTCTGCCAGCAAATCAGTTTTTACAGTCCATACATACTTGTGAAATATTAGTTGTTGAGTGAATAAAAATATTATGGTTAAAAATTGCAAATTCAAAATGGCAACAAAACATTTTATTGCTCTATAAGGTGTTTTCTGCTTCATGTGTTTCATTCTGAATTATTATATTTCTTGGTATTTCTGTGTTAACTTTGACTTACTTCACACCCTGCTTATATTTGCATAAGTATCACTGCAAGAGAATCTCGAGTGTTTCCCTCCTGCACTTCCTTCTTGTATATAGTTGGCACTTAGCATTTGTTGGATTGAACTGCCTTATTTTTAAAACATGTTCTATTCTTTGAAAATGCCTCAAATTATCATCATAGCCTCACCGTTTATTTGCTGCCTTTCAACTGACAGTCTTATATAAAGCATGACCTTCGTAAAAGTTTGTGTACTGGGTACTGTGCCAGTGAAGAGGGAGTGATTAGCTGTGTGAGGAAAGGCTTCTCAGAGGAGCTGACATTTGAACGAAGCTGTAAGGATGAGGACCAGGCAGAGAAGGAAAGATAAAGACGAGTCAGGCACAGCATGCAATGGGAAGAGGCCTGCAGTCAGGGAAGGGCATGAGTGGTCTCTGGGAAAGGGAACACCTAGATGCTGGTTATGTACTGCACAGCTCTGCGGGCACTGCAGAGTAGGCCAGTGGCAGAATGCAGTGACTTCAGGTGTATTTATATAGGTGGAAATTTTGGTAATTTATCATCTTCTCCCTTAAAGGTCAAATTATGTAGGTTATATGATTGACTAGAAGAGCTCTAATTCATGAGCCACTGTTTTTATTTCAGGAAAATATTCATCAAAAGACTTTCCCGGTGAAGAAAAAAAATTTTTTTTAACCACAAACAGTGGGATTTAAATCACATGAAAATGAACGAACCGAATCTCAAGTACGGGAATTAACTTTTAAATGCCTTTGTAATGATTTCATTTTATTGTCATTGTACAGTAAGAAAAAGATCACAGTCCGGTCTCCCATTATTGCCCACCTCTCAGGCACATGTGTTTTGTACACATTGAAATATTACTTGACAGTGTCACTTGATAAAGTTGTAAACCTTGATGAAGGTTGCCTTCTTCAACGTGGATGCCACTTTTAACCCCTAGCAAATTTAGGCATATCTATAGACAGCACAGCACTTTTCCCAATTTCTCACTGTTAATTGAGCTTCATCTTTCAACAGGTCTTGAGAAACCGCCTTGGCACGGTTTCGTTTGCCTGTCTGCATAGGCAGTGCTGTGTGGTGGTGAAGCGCTTGGGCTTCTGGAGCCGGGCAGCGGAGTGGAATCCTGGCTTAGCCACTGACTAGCTTTGTGACTGTGGGGAAGTTCTCTTCCTGCCTTAGTTGCTTCATTGTACATGGGGATAGTTATATCACCTGTTTTGTCAAGTTGGTGTGAGGCTTAAATGCATTGATACATATAAAGATCTTAGAATGGTGCCTGGCATGGAGGAAGTCCCATTTTTTTAACCAGTCCAGCTTTCAGTAGTTTCTCCGAGGTACCCATGTGCTAGCTGTTATTATTTTCATTACATTCTTCCTAGTTAACCTTCCTCTCCTCTTTTTTTTTTTTTGGTCTTCAAAACAATTTTGGATATTTATCTTCAGTATATGTGATTTGGGTTTTAAAAATCACCCCAAGAGTGATGGTTTCATGCAGTTAATGCTCACGTTTTCTTGCTTAAGAGATCCCAAGGTTTAGGATCCTCTCTTTGCATCTCTACGCTGATAAAATCAATGTTATAAATTAGCATCTAAGTTCGTCCTGTTCTCCGTAGATTGGCGCGGAGTCCTAGATCCTCCAGACTCTAATTGTGATTGGAGTGGTGGCTTTGCTGTCCTCTCCCTCATTGTCATGTCCTGAACCTCAGGGAGAACCTCAGGTCAGGTGCAGCCCCCCGAGAGCTCAGGTTCGGAATTTCCTTTGGGATCTTGCATTTTTCGCTAACTTCAGACTTTCACATAAAATGTTCTATTTTCAAGCCCCATCCGTCTTTCTAATTGAAAGTATACCTACTTGCAAATACTACATCAAAAACTATACCTGGTTGAAAATACTAAGATCACAAGTTATTTCCACTTAGCCACTACTACAGTGTTTTCCAAAATGTATTCCTCGGGATATTTATATATATATATATACATATATATTTTTTTTTTGTGAGGAGATCAGCCCTGAGCTAACATCCCCCAATCCTCCTCTTCTTTTGCTGAGGAAGACTGGCCCTGGGCTAACATCCGTGCCCATCTTCCTCCACTTTATATGGGACGCCGCCACAGCATGGCTTGCCAAGCAGTGCGTCGGTGCGTGCCCGGGATCCGAACCGGCGAACCCCAGGCCGCTGCAGTGGAGCGCGCGCACTTAACCGCTTGCGCCACCGGGCCGGACCCATATTAATATATTTTATGGTAAAAAAGGACTGATCAAAAAATTTTGGAATTAGTGGGCCAAAAACATTCAACAGATGTATTTTCTGTTTTGCTTTTTAGAGTTTTTCATGTGCCCATGTGAATCCCCACGAAGAGTGGGTGATATTTAGGGGTCCTGAGATGTTTTTATCCTTGGGATCCTTTTGTGCAGTGCGAGTTCTCTGGGATATGCTGTCGTTTCGCATTTCTCCCACTCCACGCCTCTCTCATTCCTTTCTGGTCCAGCCTCTACACTATTATCAGAGTGATTTTTGGCTTTCCTTGGTTTCTCTCAGATACCTTCAGAGCTTTTGGTCATCATCTCACACCAGTCAGTATCTGTGGGTCTTCTCTACCCTTGAACATGTTCTTGCCTTGGCTTGGAATGACCCACCTCCATTACCTCTTCTCTGAAAAGCTTTTCCGGATACCCGCAGTGATTTACCATGACTTTCTCCCTCCTCTAATGTGAAATCATAGTTCTGTTTAGTTCACTGAAAATGTTTGTTGAGCATAAACTTTTTGGGAGGCTTTAAATGGAGGTTGTCAATATTAAGTTGATTGAAGAAGTTGTTGGGAATATAAATTTTTATATATATCTTTGTCTTTTTATTTTCTTTCTCTAGTGTTCTTTTGAAGATGACGACATCCGTTCCTTATTAAAACCTTTAGAACTGGAGCTACAAAAGACAGTGCATACTTACTGTGGAAAAATTTATAAAATATTTGTCAAACAGCTAGCAAAAAGCATACGAGATCGTTTTGATAGACCACCAAAGGAGAGGTGATTCTTGGTGACCACTGAATCAAATGAATTAAAACAGCAAAGGATTGGAGGATATGTGTGAAGGAAAAGTCTTGGATGAAGTGTTCAGGAAGAAATTATTCATCTTCAGAATAATGTTTTTTCCCTGAAGAAGTTAAATGAGCAATATATTCATGTAATGAAGAATAACTTAAAGTCTTGGACCCCAACAAGAAGACATTTTTGATCTCTGATGTTTTGTAATGTTATTTGCTATCATTCCAGTATTGATGAAAATATTATTGAATGGTTGTAGCCTACAGACTTCGGTTGACTCTTATTCTCAAGTGAGTAAGAACACTTGGAGGGGTGTATGGATGGAGAAAATGTACCTCATACACAGTAGAAACACTCAAACTGTGAGTATAGCAATAATTTTATGTCAGCACTAACCTCACTTTAAATGTGTGAGAAAAAAGTTGTTTACAGGAACAGAAAAAGTTCTGTTTCTAAAGAAATGTGATGTAACCGATGTGTAATTGACAATCTATGTGTGCCTTTATACATTTCATCTCTGTTTTAAAATATTTTTGTGACAATCATGTTTAAAACTATTTCTAGGTTATAAGTAAGCTGCACATTTAAAATTGAGCTGTACAAGAAAGAAGGAAAATGGTGAAAATTTTGGAGTTTTGGTCTCTATGTGTGTGTTTGTGAAATGTAGTATTTTCATTTGTGTATGCTAAACTGTCTTGCCAAAACTCAGATCTGAGATTGTTAAACAGATATTTTGGGAAATTTTTTATCACTTTAAATGAAAATTTTCAGCTTTACTGGGCATTCTGGAATCTGGTGAGATCCTAAATAGTATACTTATATGATAGTGGAAAATGTGATAGATCAAAATGCATAAGCTATATACTTCCTGTGAACAGCAATTTTAGTTACAATGGAGCAGAAAAAAATAGTCCATTTAAATGTCTTTTCTTCTACCTCAAAATGGCTTTGCAAAATATTTTTGAAGAAGCAAATGTGTAGAGCCTTCTTCCACGTTAGACAACATTCATGGATGATTTTAGTTAAGAAGGTTGTTACATCTGACTATAGGAAAAGTAGTTTTGATTGGTTAATGTGCATATCTTCCCTTTTTGAACATCACTTAAGACAGTTATTTTTTTTTAATCTTGAAGATAAGAAAAAATATTACTTCTCTTAGTGTTCTTGACCCCTGTCTAAAGTAGGTGTAAATTCTGAGTACTTAGCATGTACTGTGCTGGGCACATATCTCATTTTACCAAGTACTATATGGTTATCTTCTTTTTCTCTTTTAGATATTTTAATGCTTAAATAGAGAAGGGAAAATCATGAAGGAAAAATATCACTTATGTGAAAATAGTGGTGATTGGCTTATGAAGACACAGTGCCCTCTGTGGTGACATGGAATATACAGAAAGAGGTTGTCAGTACAGTTGTCCCCTGTCTTTTGTAGTTCAATCAGGGACAAATTGAAGGAGGAAGGTGTACGAGAGGCAAATTAGAAGTTGATAACCAGCTCAGTACCCTTAGAACAGCTGCACAGAGAGCACAATCTATACATCCTTGGCAGAATGCCATGGTGAATATAAAAACTTGTGACCTGTGTTGAAATTGAGTTTGCTGAGTAGGAAATGAGAATCGTAGAATTTGAAGTTTGGAGGGTGTATACAAGATCATTTCTAATGGTCCACAAATGAGACCATTGTGCGTATGGCTGTATTAGACTCTCGTGGGGAGCTTGTTGAGAATGGATTCCTGGGTTTCACCTTTGGGGACTCTGGTACACTGTGTCTAGGGTGGGGTCTGCAAACATTTTTTTTAATGAAGAAATTTTAAAATTACACAAATGTAGAGAGACTAGTACAATGGTGCTCATCATCCAGATCAAACACTTATCAATATCTTACCATATTTGCATCTTCTCTACCTTTTTTCTTCGCTGAAGTATCTTAAAGAAAATCCCAGACGTCATGTTATTTCACTGCTGTAAACACTTGGGTAACTACAGTGACATCATACCTCCTCCATATTAAATGAATATCCAGTCCTTAATCAAGTTTCCCTGATTGTCTCCAATGTTAGAATCAGGGTGCAAAAATAAGCCACGTTAGGTTTCTGTTTTTTTGTTGACAGGCCAGCGGTCACGTGTCCAGACAGGCAGCAGGGGACATGTGGGCGGGTGAGCATGAGTCAGGCAGGTAGGCAGGCAGCAAGCAGGGAGGATGCAGTTGGGGGCTGCCCGGTGAAGGGTGTGGCATCCCTCCAGCCACTGCCTGCTGGGGCCTCAATCTGTGGCTTAGAACTCAGCTTAGGACTCGGTGTCCACCACGCGAAAAGCTGGCCTGCCTGAGTCAGGCATTGATGAAGACTGAGGGCTGGCCTCCTTTTGTACTTGGATCTCCTTCAGTGCAAAAGTGGAAGTAGCGTCAGGAAGTTTGTGGATCCACTCCTCCACCTGAGGGAGAATGTGTGTTTCATGGCGTCCTCTGCCGAGATCCGATTACCACCTTCAAACTGCAGCGACTTGGTGAGGAGGTCAGCCCCATGGCTGTCAAGTCGGGGTGCATGGCTCAAAAGGTCCTTGGCTCTGTACTTGGGGTACTTGTGTGTCTTGAACTCTTCATTGGACAGGATGCCCGGCCACGTCTCCTCAGTTGGGGTTCCCAAGATGGCAGATGAAGTGCAGCTGTTCCTCCACTGTGGAGCCAGGGAAGAGGGGCCGGCCCATGACCATCTCATAGAAGATGCAGCCCACCCCCCACGTGTCAGTCTGGGTGGAGTAGTCCGTGGACCCAAGCAGGATGTCAGGGGGCCAGTATCACCGTGTCAGCACCCCGGTGGAGTAGGCCAGGGTTGAGCTCTCCTTTCATTGAGGAGCAGGTTCTGGGGCTTGAGGTCTCTGTGTAGCACCTTGTGCCCGTGGCAGCAGGCCGGGCCACAGAGCAGCTGGAACAGGAACAGTTTCACGTTGTGCATGTTGATGACGTTCCCACAGTCGTCCAAGTACTGCTTCAGGTCCTTGTCCACGTACTCAAAGACAAGGGGGAGAGACTTCTCCATGTGGATGACGTCGCGTAGAGTGACGATGTTGGCGTGTTTGAGGTCCTTGAGCAGGGACACTTCCCGGATGGCGGTGCAGGGTGCCCCCCGTCTGTGTTCCAGTCTCATCTCCTGGAGTGCCGCAAGGTTGTCTGTGAGCTTGCTTTTGCCTTTGTAGGCGGTGGCCTAGCGACCCTTGCTCAGCTGGTCCAGCTTGATGTAGGTCTCCAGTTTCCCAAAGCCAATCTCGGACTGGCTGACGTGCCGGAGTCGGCGGCCGAGGGGCTTGTCGCAGATGGGGCTATTGAGGGTCAGCTTCTCAAGGTCGCCCTCGGGCAGCCAGATGATGTCGGCTGGTAGTGACAGGCGCTTGTTGATGTCCGCCGTGGAAATCTTGGGTGGAGGATGGTTGCGCATGCACCCCCTCACTGGCAACTGCATCTCATCCGGGGACGTGGCTGGAGCCTGGTCACTTTGCCTGTCAGACCCCATCTTCAAGTCCTCATGTCCAGTCTCTGGTCCAGAGCAAGCTTCCCCAGGGGTGACACATGGGGGGGCCTCTCCAACGTCACTGCCACCACCACCACCACTCTCATCCAGGCCTTTCTGTTCAGGGGTACCATTGGTCTTGTCTACACCTCGGCCCCCTCGGAGTATCATTGACAGCTGCCCTTTGACCTTCTTCATCTGATCCATGGCGACTGGCGGCGGGGGTGGGGGGGGCCGCCCGAGCAACCTCAGCGCTGCAGGGCCGGCATGGCGGCACCTTGATTCTATTTTTAATAAGCACCTTAGATGAGTTTGATGTCAGCTAATTTGGGAACCACTGGAAATCATTTTGCCAACTTGAAGGTTGAAGTTAGGATTCCATAGTTCTTGGCACAGTTGGTGGATTATAAATGTGATTCTGAAATATTAGGGGAAGTGCGTGGAGTTATTGACAAGATATGAATTTGTTATTAGTATAAGTTCCTTAGATTTAATTTCCTCAGTGAACAGAGACACTCAGCCCCGTGGGCTCTACTCTGATTGATTGGGACTACGTGGAGTGTGGTCATAGTTTAATCCGGTTGGACTGTATACTGTGGTCTCACGTGTTGTGGCTTATTTACACTGTCACACACTCTACTTTGTGGATCGTTGGAAGGTTCTTCGTCTGGTTTATGCAGACCTGACCTAATTGGGCATTTTACCATAAATTGGGTTATGGTGAAAACTCTCCACTTAGGGACTATTTTTATCTAAAATTTAGGATATCACAGAAAGTCCATAACAATATTAAAATGAGTATTCTCAATTTATCTTTAGATAAGGTAGCTTTTCCCTTGAGAATACTCAAGAAATGCAGTTCTCAGCATTAATGAGGTTAAATTATAGAACAACTTAGAGAACGTATTGTATTTCTTTTTATAAAACAGTATATCTATGCAGTTTATATAAATTACATTATATATTCTTTGAGTCTATGTGTTAGAACAATTCTGACCTCAGAACTATCTCTGGGTTACAGTATTACCAAAGTGGAATGACTTTAAAATGTAGTCAAACTTTATTTGTGTGAAGTAGCCGTCTTAAAGGAACTTGGAAAACCTTTAGAAAATATGTATTGTGATTTATATTTTAAGAAGATACATACTATTTTTTTCCCCTATGAAGAAAAAATAGTTCATAATGTATAAAGTAACCCAGTTATCTTTGGACATTTTTGAGCCTGAAACAATATTACTGCTTACTCATTGCTCTTTGCCTCCAGTCAGATGTTATTGGTATAATGGAAGGAAAACCAGACTGTGAACTAGATCTGGATTCTCTTGGTTAGGGACGCCAGGCATATCATTTAACCTTCTCTGTGCCTTAGGTTTGTAAACAATCAGTATGCCCTTTCAACCTCATGAGACTCAGAAGTCATGAGTCATGAAGTTATGAGACCCAGAAGAGAGAATGGATTTGAAAGCATTCTGCATGGCTTATCTCAGCCCACACCAGCCTTACTGTTGAAGGTCTGTTTTGCCCTGTTGTCTCCTATGCGGCTCATTCTGCTTCCTTAGCCTGAATGTTTTCTGACATATATCATAGCTCCAGTATGAATTTGCTTATATTATGTAAGGAAGAGTTTTTAAGGAAGAGAAAGCAGAGAGGAGAAGAATGATGTAGACGAATGATCGAAAAAAGAAGGAAAAGAGAGGAAGTGAGGAAAGTGAGGAAAGAGGAGGGAGTGAGAGTGAGAATGGCAAAAGGCAGAGTAAGAGAAAAGATGGAACGAGAGTGGGAAAGTTGAGACACGGAGATGGAGAGAGATGATGCGGAAACAGTCGCCCCCGCCCTGTGCCGCTGTCTGGCTGCCCTCCTCTGTGTCGGTTCAGGAGGCCCTCCAAGGGCAAGGAGGGTGGTGGCCTTCACGGAGTGGGCAGCAGGGCTACCTTTGTTCGATTGTTGACACTAGAGTCGTTTCCGGGTCACTCTGCCCACTGCGCATTTAGTGCTAATGATTCAACATTATATTTTTCACTGGATCCCAGTTTGTGAGCTAAGACCTGTGAAAACACCATGACAAATATCCTCCTTTTTAATGTTGTCTGTTCAGTCATCCCACATGTTGGCTTATGTGAAGCTAACCACATAGAGTCACAGGGGAGGTTAGGGTTGGGGGATGGCTTCCTGAGGTCTGAGGGGGCCCGGGAATCTA